AGGAATCTGCTCCCATCTCAAAACCTACCAGGAAACGATATAATAGAAGTTCAATTTCTTCCAGTATCTTAGAAATGGAACCATATTTAGTTTTAGAAATGTTTAAAGGTGCTTACATATTGAGCATACTGAAATGCTTCTTCACAGCTTAAACAAGATTTTAGTGTTTTCAACAAATCCTGAAATTGAAATTAAAATTCAGGATACAAAACAGTTTAACTACAAGACATCCACGTACACACGGACACACGAGAGAGAGAGAGAGAGAACAGGCAGTAGAAAACAGAGCTCAGAAAACATAGATATTGCTGGACCTTGTTTTTGTTGTTCTTCTGTCTGAGGCGTTCATCAATCACAAAACTAACCTGTTGTATCCAATAGAAAAATTGATTTAGTTATCAAACAAGAAAATATAAAATATATATAGATAGAACCAACAGTATAGTTACCTTGTCAAGCAACCTCTTTGGATCTTGAAATGCTTTCTTTTTAGCCCATTGATGGAATAAATGGGAAACAATAGACCTGTCTTCAACACTAAATCTGCAAAAAACTAATGTCATGATTAAAATTAATGTTTCACAATCAGTTACAGCTTAGAACAGCGACAAATAATAGTAATATAATTATTAAATAGAGAAACCTTCTTAAGAAATTATTGCTATTGTTTGCCTCTGCAAATTCTGCAAGCTCATTAGAAGCCTCACTAGAATGATTATCAAGTATTTCACGAGGCATAGGGACCACATCTGCTTCAGATTGTTTCTCTCTTATCAACAAGTCCATGGTACAATGGACTGTTTCCTTTTGAAGAGATTCTTGCTTTATGTGTAGTTCTTGTAAATTTATTTCACCCTACACAAGAATGTACCATTTAGTGAACTTGTACTTTTAAACTTCAGCAGAAATGTGAAATTAGCAGAACCTAGATACGTGCTACGAAGAATATGTGCCAAGGAACACAAAGGTATAAGTTTTATAATATGGTCTACTCTGTATAATGTATCATACACCATCCATTAACACAATTCCAGCCAGACCCTCTAGCTCTCTGTAGTTATGAAACTTCGACGGTCTGTCAAAAATTATCATATATAGATAGCATTATGATGAAAATAACCAAAGGAAAAAGGCCCAAACATAAAATAATTAACTGTTGCGAATACCTCTTATAGCAATGCATGGGTCAATATGAAATCCTGATTAGTTAGGGCGTGTTAGTTAAAGTAGATTGCATCTCTTCTCAAGTATAAGTGAGAGGTTGCTGGGAACATTTCTGTTTCTCTCGAGCATTTTTTAAATTCAAGTTAGCACTCAAAGCTGGTTACTTTTTCTCTCCATTCATGATCTATTCTAACCACTCTGGTGAAAACTTGAGTCTCTAATCACAAAACTTAGGCGCCTGGTCAATTCAGAAAACTATGGCTAACTTACCTGGAACTACATAGCCATTGGCCTGAGCATGTACAGTTATGCATCCCACTACAATAAGCTATTTAAATATTGTACCCAAAAAAACTAGGGCAGGCTAAGGAGGATCCAAACCTAGGCTACAAATACCATATAAAGAAGAAAGGTTTAGATGTACGACTCAGAAGTATACACGTACGTATTATCCATAATAACACATTATTAGAGATTTAGAGCACAAAGGAAATCAATCATAAATACAAATCAAATCCCAAATTACTGTGATGGCTATCTTATAGATATTAACATGTGTCTATTCTAATATAACCATGTGAAAAATATGCTATTTAAGAAGAGATGATTAAAGGTAACTATTACTCCAGCAGAAAGAGCAAGGATTTAAAACAAGTTTTATGCTATAGTTTGATAGTCAAAATACTTTATAAGACGGCAGGAAGACATACCTGAACTTCTACAAGATGACGAGGGATTTCTTTCAAAAATCTTGAAGGTTGAAGCATCTAGAGAGACACAGAATTAGTAAAAATTAACAATTAAAAAATGTGTTCAAATTTATTATAGACAAACCTGCCAGTTTGAGTCCATCATGACATAAAGAATAAAAAGCTTCTGCCGAGCACGAGTCATTGCAACATATAATAAACGTCTTTCTTCCTAGGTATCATATAGGAATTAGAATCATAATTTAAAACAATCCAGTTGAAGACAAAAGAGATATAAATAATTCATCCAACTATAAAACAATAACAATGTACCTCAACCAAGGCTGCAGTGTCCTTTACATTGCCCTTGAAATCGTGTAATAGAGGGATCTCAGATTCATTTGCCTATTTTATATAATAAAACATCAGTGAAGGAAACACAACAAAAAAACGAACTTAATCCATAACTTTTCGTAATAACTCGTTGAACAAACCAAGGAACTATGGTCCCTAAACAGGGTAGTGAAAGATCAAAAGTCAAATCACAATAAAGATAAAATCTTCTTAACTATGGCATTCTATCAACTTTATTACAACAACATCAATAGCCTTGTCCCACTAGGTGAGATTGCCTACATGAATTGTACAATGCCATTGAGCTCAGTTAAAAACTAAATTCTCAAGGAACTCTGACACTAATAAGCAGTTGCAAGGTCATGTTTCATATAACCAGGTTTAACTGTTTAAGTGTCACTCAAAAAAAATGTTTAGGATCACATAAACAAATAATAACTTTTGAACAACTTTTTTGAATAACATTAAAAAAAATGCTGAATAAAGCAAGAAATTAATCCATGAACAAGGTAATCACATATGAAGATTCAGATCATAACAAAGATGTGTTCCTCAAGTATTGAAAGCAAACCACTTTGATAATTGTGTAACTCAATCTTCAATTAATTTCTTGAAAAAAAAAATTGGTACATTTTTTCACCAGTTTGCTAACTCAGTGATTTCCAAATTTTCAATAACCAGTTGTATGATCATGTCACAGTAATGCAGTTTATTTAGGTGTAAATGTTAGTCATATAATCATCCGAGGATAAGATTCAAAATGGGGTATAACATCTGAACATCTATTCTGAGAAACATGAGAAATCACATATTCATCTACTTGCTTAAGAGCCTGTCAGAGCAATCACATACCTTAACTACGAAGACAACATCCCACTCTAAACCTTTTGCCTACAGGTAAAGCAAACGTTTAAACTTGTTATTGTTGAGCTAAACTCCATTAGATACTATTCAACTGAGATGGGTACCTGATGAATGGTAGTCAATGTCACAGAATTTTCGTTGTCCTTCCTCCGAGCACGGAAATTTTCTTTCTCGCGCTCAAATAAATAATCAATGAATTCTTTTAGAACAAAAATGCAGCCTTTATCTTCTGATGTTTCCCTATCACTCTTTACCTCAACTAATTTAGTGGATAGAAACTCAGAGACGTCATCTAATAGGTACTGAAGAACCTGAAGAAAGGTGTAATTCAAGCCATGGATGAACAAAGTGTGGGTCAAAATGAATTCAACATGAAAAATGAATAAATTTAAAATAATAAAATTCAAAACAATATGTTCCTTCAAACATGTAATGACATTGTTGGAAAATCGCCTTAATTGTAGTTATCCCTATTAGGGATGAGAATAAATCAAACTTTAAATAAGGGTCTATGGTCTGACTTGTTTAAAATCTTGTTTGACTTAACCTATTTAATAAAAAGGCCGGGTTAAAACTTTTAAAAAAAATCTATTTATTTAAAAAGATTGAGTTTAAGCTTATAAAAAAGTTTGTTGAACTGATTGGTCAACCAAGTTAGCTATATGAGATAATAAAAAAATAATATTTATATTACATTATTAACAATATAATTAAATAAATAAATTTATAATACAAAAAGTCAAATTATTAATATTTTTACATTTTCACTACACTTAAATTTTTTCATTCCATATTCATACAAAATATACAAAATAGAAAATCTAGTAGTCACATCACATCTTCACCTAGTTTTTTCCTTCATCTTCATGGTTGATTATTTAGAATATTCCAAATAAGATATAGGAAAAATTTAAAGGTTTTTTTTTATAAGATTATATTCTTTCATCACACCTTGTGTGTAAGTCTATATGAATGTGCATGAATTATCTCTCTTACATTAGTTTTTATATTTTTACTTTAAACTCTGAATATTAATAATAATAATAGAGTAAACTATTTTTTTTTATCACGCAAATTAAAAAAAAAAACTCATACACGTCTTTAAAGATAGATTTATTGATTTATTTAAATTTAAGTTTATTAGCCTATTTAACATTTTTAACATTGTTATTGTAAAATAAGCTTTTAAATATGATAGTAGGTCAAACTAGACTTTTAAAAAGGCTAGGCCAAACCTAGAAAAAAACCTATGATAGATAATAGACTAGACTTAGGCTTTAATTTTATAGAACAGGTTTGGTCTGTATACTTAAATTCTGGTCTATTCTCACTTGTAATCCCTAGCCCATGTTATTCACGGCCTCTTTGGGGCTGCCTTAATTGCTTAATCAAGGGTGATAGTTTAGTGCCACATCAACTGAAATATGACTTAAATAGAGCTTATAAAGATTAGACAATCTTCACCTTACAAACTAGTTTTATGAATTAAGCCCTAAGCTCAAATTCTAAGATGATATTAGAATCTATCCTAGATCCATTTTTGGGTCCCCTACACTCGCTACACTCTAGGCTTGTAGCCTTAAAGGGGGAGTGCCGGAAAGTCGCCTTAATTGCAATCACCCCTAGCCCATCTTAGTTATGGACTCTTTGGGATCCTCAAGCGTGGTGGTTTAGTCCATATCAACTAGATATATGACCTAAATAGAACATATAAAGCTTGAGTTTCTCACCTTACAAGTCAGTTTTATCATGTTAAATTAAACCCTATACTCATGGTTATTTGAAAAGTCTAGATGTTGGCCTAGCAGCGAGAAATCCAAGTTTATGCTTGGTCATTTGAAAAGTGTAGACAATGGTCTAGCAACAAGAAATCCAAGTTACACTTAGTCATTTGAGAAGTCGTAGACATAAGTCTACTAGGGTGAAAGTCTAGGTGTGGCTTAACAATGTGCTATGTATTTGTGAGTTGTGTTGGGTCCAAGTATACATGCATATAGAATTAAGAGCGTAAGAGTTGTGTCAAACATCTTGAGTTGTGTGTATTGAAGTTTGTTGTGTTGTGCTTGTGATGAGTTCTTAGTATGCTACTTGGCTTTCTTATATGTACCCCATTATGTGTAAGATATAATCTTGCTCCTCTATTGCTTGTTTGTTATTGTTTGGAATGACCACCATTATTAGGTGAGCATGACTTTGAGCATGTTGAGGTTGTGGGTCGAGAAAGCTTAGACTTCTATATTACTAGTTTATGAATCAAGCTTTGATAGGTTGTAACATTAGGGTAGTGATATTGTTTATTAGTATTTATGTTTTATGAACTCATTAGTTTTTGAAGAATCATGTAAAGGCTGTTTTAGAGTTTATTGACCTTCTTTATTAGTGTTTCTTTATCCGTGGGGTTTCATTCCTCAAGATTTGAGAAGGTGAATCTTTTTATTCCAAGCGCAAGAGCTATATTATAATTAATTGCCGTATTTTGATATTATTTAAATCAAAATGTTATGGGGTAGAAGTTTAACACTTAGCCTCATCAAAGGATGATTTGAAAAAAGAATGAATAAAGTGGCTAGGGATAGACACAAATGCTAAAGATACCTTAAGTGAGAGAGAAACAATGAAAAACATCAGGATTCTCCCTCAGTATCTGATACCATGTAAAGAGGGATAGAAGTATCTAAGAGAGAGACCTTGCTTTTGTTACTGTGAGTAGACCCACAATTATTCATTTTGTAATGAAAGGGACTTATGCGTAATCTGTGAGAGTCTAATTGGTGTTACATTTACAGGTATAAAAGCACATACATGCACGACAATTACTATTAATTGCAAACTTCTGTCCAAATTTTCAACATGTACATTACAAACACGAAAACCATTTTTTTCCTATCACAAAAGCAATCTCTAATAGCAACCTAAGTTTCCTCTTACATTGAAAACTTACAGATCTAATGTCGTAGTCTTCATTCAAAAATGTCCCTCCATCAACATCAAGGATTGCCCGTTTCTCAAGAAGGTATTTCTAAAATGAATAATTCATGGAATAATAATTAAATAGATATTGAAGAATATGACATTGTATTTGTATGGAATATTTTCATAAAAGAGCTGTGTTTATTTTTAAATCCATTAAAATTTATGTCAAAATTAAATTCAGATTTATCTAACAAAAGAAGCAAAATATTTATAAATATATAGTTACAAAATAATTACAAGACAAACCTCGGGTATCATGTTTGCCACAGAAGTTATAATAGCAGAGAGTGACTTTTCCTGTCACAATAACAACAATCCCACTAGTAAAGTAGCAACATGGACAGATAGATACCATAGAACTTTACTAAAAAATCCTTTTTACTAAAATCATTCACAAATTCTTTTTTAATGTTTTCTTAGTTCTTCTATTGGAAACTACGCAACTATTGGAAACTGGAAAGTGCTGTATAAAATGTTTAGCATCAGGTATTTTCTTAGGAAATTAAATTTTATGTTTATTCCTCTTAAATGTAATTAATATCGAAACTGCTACAAGGTATATATAGAGCTGGAGTGCACTGCTCTGTACAAGAGGTAGAGGCTACAACAGAAATCCTAACTATAACAAACTCTAACTAACTATAGCTGAACACCCAACTGTCAGTAACAGCGAACTAACTAGCCAGAAAAGGATACAGTGTTGTGCACTATATTGCAGTACACGCAGCAGCATAATCTGATATCTCTAACAACCATAATGAATTTTTAATACAAACCATTGATGCAAGACCAGATGCTCAATATTTATGCTTGTCCCCTATATTAAACACTAATAATTCAATGTTCCCCATACATATCTAAAATAGAAAGATCAAATATCACCGAGATATATTTTCTTACTATTCACCATCAAAGACTGATTTAATAATAACTATTATTGCAAACATAAATTAGATCAGCAATTGAAGTGTGCAGAAAGCGTTTACCCTGTGAATAAATTTTGATATCATCTCTAGTGTCATTAAAACCTTCCTTCCGTGGGTAAGCTCACTCCTATGATCAATAATAATTAATAACTATGAACGTCATTCTATCAATTAGGTTTTAAGACAATATACAACAGAACAATACATTAAAAAAAATGTCTTTGAACTATGAACATAAAAATAACAATAACAACTATGAACGTCATTCTATCGATTATCACCATATGCATTATACGCTGCAAGAAAAAAAGTCGCATTGAAGTCGAGGGATAAACACAAAAGCAAGAAATATGCCCTAAATAAGAGAACACCCCAAAATTGAGAAGAAATATTGCTCACAGAAGATTATTTTCATAATAATCGATATTTCAGAGGAAGCCTTGATCCATGGGGCTGATCATTCCAGTTTCATCATCAAGCCATAGTTATTCAATTAAAATGTGGGTACGTAGATTACTTTTTTCAGTATTCACAGTTAAGGCAGGATGGATACAACTAATTTACTTGATAAAAAAAAGTGTCATTTTAGAAAATCAGATGTGTCATGCATAATCTTACAGAGCAACAGAACAAAGTAATGTGTTTTTTTCAAGTACTTAATATATCATAATAAGACTTTAGGGAAGAATCTTTTACCAAACCTTTTAAAGGTGCCAGAAATCTTTGCACTAAAGATGTCAGCGGCAGCTGACAAGAAACTGCATTTTCTAATTGTTGATATTTTGTTGATATGATCAATTATCTGTAAGGGAAACACTAATCTGAAACAGTTGCTGAAACAATATCTGAAGACTAAAGAAAATATAAAAAGCCACCATGGCTATATGCTCCATATGTCAAGAAGGTTCAATCTGAAAATCTCTATAAACGTTGTACCTTCTTCTTTTTATCTTTCTCCAAAGGCAGTAAAGCCTTGAAGACTCGACTATATGAGCCATCATCACAACCAGGCAGTGCTGTTCGAAGCATGGCAATGATAGTTCTGACTACCTATTATGAGAAGGCACAAGTAAATAAATTATGCATATATGCAAAGGTACGGATACAACCATTCGCAAGTCAGAATAGTTATAAGATTATAATTTATATTTATAAACATAAAATAAAATTCAAGATCTTGTGAACTTCAATGACCAATTAGTCTAGTAGATATCTTCCCTAAATCTCATTGAACTCCAGGGGCAACTTACATATGTAACAAGCTTGATGCATATGACATATGCACCAGCTTAGCTTGGAGGCGGAAGTTTTAAGGAGGTAACTGCCGGTTCATTTTAATTTTCCATGACTTCATGCAGATATTCTTCACATCTTGAAGTATCTCAAAGGAGAACCAGGGCATGGATTCTATACAAGAATATTGACCATTATAGAGTTTAATGGTTTTGCTGATGCAGATAAGGCAAGGTTTCTGTTGATAGGAGCCTATGACGGTTTATTTTGTCGTTGTGGTAGGTAACATGGTATCTTGGAAAAAATAAAGCTATAAAACATGGTTACACATATTTGTAACAACCTGGGTTAGTCATTAGCTGTCACTTATAATACATATATTATAAGCATTTATGCTCTAACTTAGTGAATTTTTTGCATTATCTCAGTTAAATTGTCTGTGAAAGTTGTCTCTAGAAATTAGTTATTGGCTGTCAACAATTAGCTTAATTTACACCTATAATAAACGGAAATGTCAATTTTACGTTATTGATATTATTGATCCAAGATTTTTCACCCTTTGTATAGCTTCAATCATTGGCCTCTTCAATAATTGGACATCAAAAATGCCATCTAGCATGGTGAATTGCAAGAAGAGGTATATATGGACTAGCCTCCTGGCTTCACTACCAGTACCACTGGCGACTCTCATCTTGTTTGCTAGATGTGTCGAACTCTCTATGATTTAAAACAGTCCCCACTGGCCTGGTTTGGGCATTTCAGTTCTACCCTTCTAAAATTGGGAATGACCAAATGCAACTAAACAAAGCTGGTTACTCTGTCTTTTTCATTCACTCTCTCGTTGACCTTTACATTTATCTTGTTGTCTATGTTGACAACACTAACATCACTGGCAATGATGAGGCTGGCATCCGACAACTCAAAGACTTAGACCATCTATCCCATCAATGTCAGACAAAAGATTTGGGCCCTCTTAAATATTTCTTGGTCATAAAGGTTGCTCAGTCTAGTTCACGTGTTAGCCTTACTCTACATAAGTATCCATTGGACATTTTTGAGTAGTCGATATACTCAATTGTCGTCCTTGTGACGCTCATTTGAATCCTAATGTAAAGCTTCTTTTGGGTTGGGTGAGCCATTGAAAGACTCAAGATATCAACGCCTCGTTGGTAAACTTATTATCTCATTGTTACTAGACCTGACATTTGTTGATACATAAAAAGTGCACCTGGCAAAGGATTATTACAAGAACAAAAGCAACGCAAAAATCATTAGTCGCTCTAATGCTAATTGGGCAAGATCGCTATCAAATAGATGATCCACTTCAAGATATTGAGTTTAGGATATCACCTAAGCCACCTTTTCTCTTGTTGGAGGAAATATAATTTCATGGAAGAGAAAGGAGTAAAACATAGTTACCGAATCCAATGCAGAAGTTGAATAATGTGCTATGGCAACAGTCACGTGAGCTTATGTAGCTTAGGCAACTACTCCAATAACTAATATTTAGAGACATCGGGGGATGAAGCTTATCTACAACTAGGGATGAAAATAGACCAGGCCTTAAACAGGACCTATGACATGACTTCTTTGAAATCTGGTTTGGTCTGACTTGTTTAATAAAAATGTTAAGTTTAAACTTTTAAAAAAGCCTATTTATATAAAAAGGTCTAACTTAAGCTTATAAAAAAAATTGTTAGGCTTGATAGGTTAAATTATTTATTTATATAATATAATAAAAAATTAATATATATATATATATATATTATTAAAAATATAAATAAATTATTAATATTTAAAAAAATTATACAATTATTTTTTTTTCATTATAGGTTTATAAGTTTACGACTTATGCATGAATTGTCCCTTTAACAGAAAATGATTCAATTTTTCTCCTATATTTCTTTTAAAATTTAAATTTTAATAATATTGAATAAACTATATTTTAAAAATAATTTTGTTAATTTTTAAAAATTAAGTTTATTAACCTAATTAACATTAATAATTTAAATAGGTTAATAGGTCAGAAAGGTCAGACCAAGCTTATAAAAAAACCTATGATAGATAATAGGTCAAGTTTAGGCTTTAAATTTACAAAGACCCAATCTATATATTCAAAGTCTAGCCTAGCCTAGCCTATTCCCATCCCTATTTACAACAATTAAAATGCACTCCATATTGCATCAAACTCAAATTGTCATGCAAGGACCAAACACAAGTGTTGGAGATCCCACATTACTTAGAAATAAGGTCAAAATAATGTATATAAATGTGGAGCAATCCTCACCTTACAAATCAGTTTTGTAAGGTTGAATTAGGCACATAATCCACTTTTTGGTATGGTATTAGAACCTATATCCTAGTGATTATCGATTTCTAGTGGATTTATCACGCAACCCGCTATCAGGCCATTAACGAACCACCCACAAATGCTTATATCCTAGCGATTATCGATTGTTAGTGAGTTTGTCAGGCCACCCTTTAACTGACCGCCTGAAGATGTCCAATCCTACAAACTTCATGTTTGAGATGTCCAATCCTCAGTATGAGAAGAGTGTGTTGCAGATCCCACATTATCTAGAAATAAGATCATGCAAACTTCACGCTCAAAATCTCCGATTCTCAATGTGAGGGGATTGTGTTGGAGATCCCACATCACTTAAGAATAAAGTCATAATAATGTACATAAGTGAGGAGCAATTCTCACCTTACAAATCGGTTTTGTAAGGTTGAATTAGACTTTTAACTCACTTTCTTAAGGATCGATTGCCACTTTGTTAAAGAAAAGGTGCTTCTCAAAGAAACCACAACCAACTTTGTTAACTCCAGCAATCAGCCGGCTAATATGTTCACGTCTCTTAAAGGTTCTCATGTTGAATATATTTGTAACAAGTTGGAACGTGACATGCATTCTTCAGCTTGTTTGGGGGGGGGGGGG